ATATTAAAAAAATTCTCTCTCTCTCTCTCCTCTCTCACTCTCTCTTAAAAAAAAAAAAAATAAAAAAAATAAAAAAAATTTTTAGTTGTCAATGGACATTTTATTTTATTTTATTTATTTATATGTGGTACTGAGACTCAAACCCAGAGCCTCACACATGCTAGGCAAGTGCTCTACCAATGAGCTACAATCCCAGCCCTCAATCCCAGCTCTTTTATTTTTTATTTATTTATTTTTAATCAGAAGAACTGGCAACACATAAGACCAATTAATTTTTTTAATATTTTTTTTTAAAGAGTGAGAGAGAGGGAGAAAGAGAGAGAATTTTTTTTAAAGAGAGAGTGAGAGAGGAGAGAGAGAGAGAGAGAGAGAGAGAATTTTTAATATTTATTTTCTAGTTCTCGGCGGACACAACATCCTTGTTGGTATGTGGTGCTGAGAATCGAACCCGGGCCGCACACATGCCAGGTGAGCGCGCTACCGCTTGAGCCACATCCCCAGCCCCGAGAGAGAATTTTAATATGTATTTTTTAGTATTTATTTTTTGGCGGACACAACATCTTTGTTTGTATGTGGAGCTGAGGATTGAACCTGGGCTGCACGCATGCCAGGGAGAGCGCTACCACTTGAGCCACATCCCCAGCCCGCAGCTCTTTTATTTTTTAAATTCTGTTTCACTAAGTTGCTTCGGGCCTCACTAAAATGACGAGGCTAGCCTCAAACTTGCAATCCTTCTTTCTGTCTTGATCTTCAGAGTCACCAGGATTACAGGTGTGTACCAATTTACCTGGCAGATGTTTTCACTTTTTACAGAGATACTTGAAACATTTTTCTGGGAATTTTTTAATCTTTATTTTGTCTCAGTTGTTTGAGACATAGCACTGTATGGTGTTATTACTAACAATGTCATTGTAAACCTATTTATCTAACATTAGGATAGTTTGCTTCCTTTATTTTTGGTCCTGTATTGGTGATCTTGGTATAACTGTAATCTTTACCTAGTGACCATTTGTACATTATTTAAAAAAATAACTGATAAACTGGGCATGATGGCTCACACCTGTAATCCCAGCTACTCAGTTGGATTGAAAGTAATTTAGCATAGCCTTAAGCAATTTAGTGAGTTTAAAAGAACTGGGAATGTGGCTCAGTGATAATGCACTCCTTGGTTCAGTCCCTAGTATTAAAAAAAGTGATATTTAATGAACAAATATTTATTTTTCTTACATGCTAAGCAAACACTCTACCACTGAACTATACCCCCAGACTCATGAACAAATATTGAACAAATAAAAACCTTGGTCCTAAAGTTATATATGTTTTGTAGATTGAATCAAGAAACACTTTTTTTCTTTATTTATCTTGGTGCTGGGGACTGAAACCAGGGCTTATGTGCATGCCAGTCAAATACTTTACCATTGAGCTACATCCTAGCTTAAGCATTTCATTCTTCCTTTTTTCTTTTCTTTTCTCTCCTTCCTTCCTTCCTTCCTTCCTTCCTTCCTTCCTTCCTTCCTTCCTTCCTTTCTTCCTTTTTTTTTATTTTTTGATATGAGGAATTGAATCCTATCACTTTACCACTGAGTTACATCTCCAGACTTTTTATTTATTTATTTATTTACATTTTGATCTCAAAATATAAATAAATAAATAAATAAATAAAAAGACTGAAGATGTAACTCAGCTAAATTGCTGAGGGTCTCACTTTTGCTCAGGTTCACCTTCAACTTGTGATGCTTCTGCCTCAGTCTCTCAAGTCACTGGAATTACAGGCATGTACTACCACACTTATTGGCCCTAAATATTTATTTCGAATCATCTCATCTTTTGTCTTCCCTTACTATAGAGGTTAGAAAGGAAAATGGTAAAATTTCTGGACTCCCTTACAGCTACAGATGGTCATATGCTACAGTTTTATTCAAGGAGACAATCTGGTAAAGATATTCCCTCCACATGTAAACAGAAAAGGCCACAAGAGGAGAAAGCCCTTTATCTGATCTCTTTCACTTTGGTGTGTACCACCATACCTGATTCACAGCAAGAGTCTGAAGATGAGTTAATGAAGAGACTATTTACAGAGGTGTGGACAGAGTACAGGAAAGCAATAGTGAGTAGAATAGTAACCCAAGGTGTATAACATAGGCCCATCACAACTGTAGGCATGAGGAGTGAGGACAGGGGTTACAGCAAACCAGGAGAGAGCTGAGTGAGAGGTAGCTTCCTCAAGAGGAGCTTTGACCTTCAGAGGGGTCCCAGCCACCCTCCTCTTTCATTCTAATCTCCTTTGAGTGCTTCCCTTTGTTTAAGCTCCACAGAGAGTCAGAGGGAAAAGTCTCCTGGACACAAATCAAGGTAAAAAATATTGAAGAATTAATCTGGAGGTAAAAACACCACACAGGCATCTATCTTTTTCTTTTTTCTTTTCTTACATCTACAGAACGCAACACACAGTGAGAGTCCTGGCAAAAAGTAGGCGATGAATCCATTTTTATTTGCATTTAATTGAATTTAGTTATCTGTTCTGTCCTACAGTACTCACGACCCAATCTGAAATCACCATCAACCTTATTCATGCATAAAATCCAACATAAAATTGCTAGTCTGCAAATAACTTCTTTTTTACCCAACAGCAAAAGATATTTGGATCCTTTCCTGAGGCCAGATTAGGAGTGGGTTTTTGAAGCAACTTTTGTAGATCTAGATTTAAAAAACATATTAGAAATGCAAAATAAACTGGGTGTTGTGGCATGTGCTTTTTCCTTCTCTCTTTTTCTTTCTTTCTTTTCTTTTCTTTTTTTTTAGAGGAAGGTCTTGTTAAAATTACCTAGGTTAGTCTTGAACTTGCTGTCCTGCCTCAGCCTCCTAAGTAGCTGGAATTACAAGTGTGTACCACCATACCTTTAGATGTGTGTGTTTACACTATTTTTTTTTTTTTTTAAGATGGGGTCTTGTTACTCATGAGTTAAAGCCATCCTCCACCTCAGCCTCTGAAGTAGCTGGACAAGTGTGTTGTCATCCTGCCTGGCTCAACATTTATATATTGATGAATGAATAAATTAAAATAATTATCAATGTTAGTTTTGTTGTAAATATAAAGTGAGATAACAATAAAATGCACTCTATAAATTTAAGTGTTTTCCTTCTCCCTTCCCCATGTCCAATAATTCAACAAGTCAGCTTGACCTCAGTTTTCAAACATATCTTTTCTCTCTACTTCATTTATTACTACCATTCTAGGCAAACCAACCTTATCTCCCATCTACACTACAGTAATAGTTTCTTTCTTAGCTGATCTCTCCACCTTCTTTCTTGCTCCAGTTCCCATCAAACTCCAATCTCTCCAGAGTGAGGAAGATCTTTTAGAATTGCTTTTTTTTTTGGATGGTGGAGTTGGCTGGGATGGAACCCAGGGTCTCAGGCTGCAGTCTGGCTGGGCACAAAATAACCGACCTGCCACAAAGCCTTGTAGGTTCAAACAGCAACTCTTTATTCCCGAACTCTCACTGGCACTCTACACACACTTTCCGGGAACATATTCCCGAGCCAATTCTCACAGAACCCAGCGAAAACTCAAGGGGAACTCCGAAGTAGCCACCGCCCTAGGCAGCAGGATCCGCCCTAATCCCAGAGCCGCCCTATTCCCAGGATCCGCCCTAATCCTGGAGCGAGCTTCCCTATTCCCCGCCCCCAGGATCCACCCTAATCCTCAAACCGCCCTAATCCCGGAGCAGGGTCACCTTTCAACCATTCCCTCTAGCAAAATACCAGGTGTCATTCCCACTAAACTGTGGCTCTCAACAGTCTCATGCATAAAAGAATGTGCTCTACCATTGAATTACATCCTTAGCACTAGAAACAGTTCTGATGATGTCATTTCTAAACCAGATTAAACATCTTTTGGTATTTAGAATTAACCTGGACTTCTTTATGTTGTTTGGTCTCTACTTTCCTCTTAAACTTCATATGCTTTAGGCTAATTGGCTCTTCCCCCCAACCATCCTGGAATTAACAAAATTTATTTCCATTTTAGCACTTTAGCATTGATGGATTCTTCTTTTGGAATATTCAGCTAGTTAACTCCTTGTTGCCATTCAGATATCAGTTTTAAGGGGGACTCCCTCTGAGAAGGAGTATCACTAATCAGAAGTGGCAATTTCTTATCATACCACCTTTAATAGCACTTAACACTGCACTGTTTTATTTATTTATTTATTTATTGTCTATATGTTTGTTTCTCCCTCAATAATAACCCCCCCCTCGTGCTGGGGATTGAATCCAGGGCTTCCTACATGTCACACTGATCTATAACCCCAGACCCTCTCCTCAATAAATTTTAAGCTTTGTGAGAATAGAGACCTTGTCTGGTATGTTCATCTTTCCATCTCCAAAGTTGGAGCGATGTCTGGAACTTGTAGTATATGCCTAATAAATATTCGCTGAATAAATGAGCGCACTACTTATGACGACGACGATGACGACGACAACAACAACTCAAACTAGTCGGTTACACATTCTTGCAAATTTTCCAAGAACAAGAATCGCAGTTCCAAGCCCCTGGGTTCCATCCCAGAACCGGAAAAAGAAAAATCCTGGAAGACTGGGAAACCTAAAAACAAAAGATCTGGGGTTGCAGGCTGAAGAAGCAAAGGAAAAAATTCATGAACTTTGGCTTTTCTTTCCTAGCCAAAGACCCCAGAGACCTTGCAAAAGGGAGGCCTAGAATCTTTTGACTAGACACTCCGGCTCAATCACGGTGGGTATTTTCCATCTATGATACTTTGTAGCCACTCCTGTCGGGCTGCAAATGCGCAAATACCTTTAGGACCCGGTGTTCCATTCTGTTTCTTTATGAATGAACCGGCTCAAATCGACGCACGCGCAGCTCCCGGTTCTCCGGCTCCACGTGAGGCCCACCAGTCCCTCTAGCCCGGCGGCCCCGCCCTCATCCATTCTAATAGACCAATGATGAGAGGCCTGGGGGGCGGAGCCCGAAGCCACCAGGTTCTGTAGTTCCCCGGGCGCCCGGCTCCCTCGCGTTAGTCTTGCTATGTTGTGATCACGTGGCCGACTTCGGGCGCGGCGCTTGTTTTGGTTTTTCTTTAGCTTGCCTCTGGAAGCTTTGGGGTGAACAATTTTCCTGCACCGGTTGCCGTGCCTGCCTACATCCAGACCTCTTCTTCGGGCTCTCTTAGCCCGCAGTTCTGCATGCCCCTTGGGGCGGGTTCCTGCCATGCCGTTGGTCCGCTACAGGAAAGTGGTCATCCTCGGATACCGCTCTGTAGGTGAGTCTCCGCCCTGCAAAGAACAGGAACGCACCGCAGCTTTGTGGCCAGAAGAGGCGCGCTGTCGCGGGAACTTGACCCAGTGCCTAGTGTTTAGAGCGAGGGATGGAGGAAAAAAGGTTGGTGTGTTGAAGGCTGCAGGAAGCCGTAGCTTGTAAGGGTTAATGTGGACTTGACTGCAGGAACATCTGAGAGGTCCTCAGCATTATCCTGGGAGTAGAGATGGGGTCCGGACTCGAAGGTGTGGGCAAATAGTCACAAGTGTCCTGGGGCAGTGAGGACACTCCTAGGAATATCCATCCAATCTTCCCGGGAGTAAGGTGGGGTAGGGAAAGGTGGCAGGAAAGGCTTCCTGTCGCGCTGCTGTATGCACCCGGGAGCCAAAGCGAAGAGACAAGGCCAAAAGATGGGGAAGGTAGCATAAGAGAAAGTCTTTGTTGGGGCGCTCACAGACTAGGGTACTGATTTGGGGTACTATTTGGTCCTGAGCCACAGTCCTAAAGGACTGAGGATGTGAATGTGGAGGGATGTTTTACATACTACTTCTGCACTTTACAGGGAAGACATCTTTGGCACATCAATTTGTGAAAGGCGAGTTTTTGGAAGGCTATGATCCTACAGTGGAGAATAGTGAGTAGTTTGTCCTTTCGTGTGAAGGGGATATAACCTGGAAGGCTTGGGTGCCTCACCCAACTCCATGATTTGGGATTTTCCTGTTGCCAAGGGGCTCCTTTATTTAGTTGTTAAATCTAATCTCCTCTTGCAATCTTGTTCTGTGGGTGAATAGAGTATGGATTTGCAAGGTACTATGTCCAGAATAGTGTAGATATAGACAGTAAGAGTCCTAGCATGTCACTTTAGTTTCCTGGAGAGCTCCCTGGACCTGGTACATCTATGTCACCTCCAGAGTTAAGAATGTATGGGGTACACATTGCTGGCTGTTCAAGGCACCTCACAGTCAAGTTTTCTTTTCTTTTCAGCTTACAGCAAGATAGTGACTCTTGGCAAAGATGAGTTTCACCTACACCTGGTGGACACAGCAGGGCAGGTACCAGTTGGGGCAGGGTATTCAAATGTGGTAGTTCAGCCCTAGGAGATAAAGTTTGGCAGCTTTCGTGGTTCATGTGTAAAGTAGTATTGGATGAAAAGCATTTTAGCTGCTAACACTGTTTATAGGGCTCATTAGAGCTGTTCCATAAACTTATTGGATAGAAGTGACTGGAGTGGGGAGTGCCCCAAGAACACTGGACACTGTCCCACCGACCTTTGCCATCTGAGTGGTGTGGATCTAGGTACTAATGTTTCTATTTCTTGTCAGGATGAGTACAGCATTTTGCCCTATTCATTCATCATTGGGGTCCATGGTTATGTCCTTGTGTATTCTGTCACCTCTCTACATAGGTAAGTAAACAAAGTTGTGGGGGACCTGGGAGGACATGAGGACTGTCTCAGAATTAAGATTATAGCTCCATTTCTTGTGTTTAAAGCTTCCAAGTCATTGAGAGTCTGTACCAAAAGCTACATGAAGGGCATGGGAAAACCCGGTAAGTGGGCTGAAGGGGGTTGGAGGAGCAGAGGGGTGAATTGTCTAAATTAGAAAGGAGGCTAGTACATAGATAATGCCTAGTCTGATGGGGATTTGTCAAGCCTTGATTTGAAGGTGGTTGGGGTCCATAGAGAATGAGAGGGGAGCCTATAGTCACTGCCATCTCCTCACAGGCTGCCAGTGGTGCTAGTGGGGAACAAGGCAGATCTCTCTCCAGACAGGTATGTAAGTCTCTGCTGCTCAGGGTTAAGGAAAGTGAGCTAGACTAGGAATCAGTTAAGCTTTAGTCCTATCCCTACTACTGACTCAAATAAACTATTTCACCTCTCTTCATTTCTAACTAGAGGGTTAAGAGAAGATAACCCTTCTGTCACAAAAGCCACAGTTGCAGTATTTCAAGTCTCAGTCCTTTTTTTTTTTTTTTTTTAAATCTCCCTGTGGTTCTGGGGATTGAACCCAGGCCTTGTGCATGTGAGGCAGGCATTCTACTGAGCTATATTCCCAGCTGCAAGACTCAGCCCTTTGTTTACCTATATCTCTTTCCTAACCTTTGTTGCAAACTTTGGAGAGATGGGAAGTATCAGAGAAGTCTAGATCCTAAAGATTTTGCAGAGAACTTGGGTACATTGTTATCATCCATTTTTATGTCCCAAATTTACTTCCAGAGAGGTACAGGCAGTTGAAGGGAAGAAATTAGCAGAGTCCTGGGGTGCGACATTTATGGAGTCATCTGCTCGAGAGACTCAGGTACTGGGAAGATGGTGGGGATAGCAGTTTCTTCCTTATACATTGCTTGGTGGTGGGGATGGGAGGGGAATGGGGCGTTCACCTCAGAGCTGGCACCAAACTGACTTTTGCCCTGAATGCTTATCCCTTATAGCTGACTCAAGGCATCTTCACAAAAGTCATCCAGGAGATTGCTCGTGTGGAGAATTCCTATGGGCAAGAGCGACGATGCCGTCTCATGTGAGCCTTCGGGTGTGGGGTAACTCCCTTGTTGCTGCCCCTAGCACTTGCTGGGTTCCACTGGGGGACAGACCCTCTGGACTTCATGGATAGCTGCCAGCTATTCCTAGCCCTCTGGGCACACAGTGTGGTACCTCATATTTGCACACTCTCCACAGGCTCCAGTGGTCTGGGTGTCAATGTTTACAAAGGGCAAGGATGTCTCATGGGCACTGGCCTCTCTAGACCGTTTTTTCCTCTAAATGAATTCTCTTAGAACCTGTGGGTTGGTATATGAGTCCTGGGCATTGTTTATCCAGGACTCATCCTCCTGTATAGGTTTTTGGTGTTGCCTGGGCAAGAAGAGCTAGGGACTCCTGAAGAAGAGTTGGCTCCCTGGTGTGACAATGTATATATGCAAATAAACTGAGAAATCTTTTCTGAGAAGCTCAGGACCAGTATTCCTTTTCCAAGGAGTGATGGTCTTTGGTGGGAAATCATTCCTCCTACCTCATTCCTACTCCTTACTCCTCATTTATTAAGGACCATTACCCTAAGACTTACCACCTGCCTTTCTCACCTTTCTGCTAGGTTCTTCTCTACAGTACTGAGTTTCTGTTGGTTGCTCCACCCATCCAAGTTAGGCTCTTAACATTCCCTTATCTACAGAAACACCACCCTCTAGTGGCCACCTGCCATATGCTGATCTAGCTGTTGTCTCTGGGGCCTTAGTACTTGGCTGAGACTCCTGGTAGATTTTGGGGGGGAAAAAAAAGGAAGTTCCTCACTCCTTATAATGTGAAAATGAAGGTAAAGACTAAAAGTGTTGTGAAGATCTTGATTCCCCAAGAAAGTTGAGAAAGTCATAAATAATGCTTCTAGTGCATATCAGCCTCTTTGCCCCTAGTCCCTTTCATTATAATATGCATTCTTTGCTCTTTTTATGCTTTTTAATTTTTTTGTACTGTTCACATTTTGGGGGGCATGCTATATGTTTTAGCTGCYAAAGGATATTGTTTTTGTCCTTTTTCAACAACTTACCACCTTAGAATGAGGATGGCTATCTATTTCAGCTAGAAAGGTTTGGGTCTCTTTGCCTCAGTTTATATACATACATACACAAACACACACTATATACATATTTTAGTTGTCAATGGATCTTTACTTATCTATATGCAGTGCTGAGAATTGAACCCCATGCCTCACACATGCCAGGCAAGTGCTCTACCACTGAGCCACGACCCCAGCACCTCTCTGTCTCAATTTTTTAAAATTTATTTTATTTTTGGTACCAGGAATTGAAGCCAAGGGTGCTTGAGACACATCCCCAGCTCCCCTCCTTCCCCCGCCCCTTTTTAGACAGGGTCTTGCTAAATTGCTGAGGCTGCCTTTGAACTTGTAATCTTCCTGCCTCAGCCTCCCAAGTAGCTGAGATTGGAGGCATGCACCACCCTATCCAGCTGCCTGTTTTTCTTGACTCTCTTTCTCATAACCCAAGAGTCTAACTGGCCCAGTTTCTCCTTCAACGAAATGGATTATTTGAATGGTATCATAAATGTATAAGGAGGATGAAGTACCCCATCAGTGCACTTACTTGGTGGCAGTGAGAAATGGACATAAATTTTTTTTTTTTTTTTTTGTGGTATTGGGGACTCTTAGCTACATTCCCAGTCCTTTTTAAAAAAAATATATATTTTTAGTTGTAGATGAACCCACACAGTTTCTTTATTTTTATGTGGTGCTGAGGATTGAACCCAGTGCCTCATGCATGCAAGGCAATCTCTTTTTTTTTTTTAAAGTAAGGTTTATTGCTTTGCTAGCACAGGGCACTCCTGCCCCAGAGACTGTGATTCTGCCCATCAACAGGAACACTTTTATTTATTTATTTTTAAAGAGAGTGAGAGAGGAGGGGGGGGGAGAGAGAGAGAGAGAATTTTTAATATTTATTTTTTAGTTCTCCGCGGACACGACATCTTTGTTGGTATGTGGTGCTGAGGATCCAACCCGGGCCACACGCATGCCAGGCGAGCACGCTACCGCTTGAGCCACATCCCCAACCCCGCGAGGCAATCTCTTTACCACTGAGCTACAGTTCCAGCTCTCCCAGTCCTTTTTATTAAAAAAAAAAAAGTTTATTATTTTTGGTTTTGAGGATTGAACCCAAAGGGGCTTTAGCACTGAGCCACATCCCTACCGTGGTAAGAGTATGTTGCTTAGTGCTTCTAAATTGCTGAGTCTGGCCTTGAATTTATAATCCTCCTGTCTCAGACTCCCAAGTCTCTGGAATTGCAGGCATGTGCTACCAGGCCTGGCTATTTTTTTGAGATAGGGTATCACCAAGTTGTCCAGGCTGGGCCCAAATCTGTGATCCGGGCTGGGTATGTGGCTCAAGCAGCACACTCGCCTGGCATGCATGGGGCGCTGGGTTCGATCCTCAACACCACATAAAAATAAAATAAAGATATTGTGTCCACCTAAAAAAACTAAAAAATAAATATTAAAAAAAAAAATCTGTGATCCTTTGCTCTAGTCTCCTGAGTTGCTTGTATTACAAATGTGTACCACCATGCCCAGCTAGGTGGGATGTTTTAAAAAATATTTTTTAAACATTTTTATTCATTGTTGATGAATTTTTAAATTTTATTTATTTATTGGTATGTGGTGCTGAGAATTGAACCCAGTGCCTCACACATGCTAGGCAAGTGCTCTACCACTGAGCCACAATCCCAGCCCGATAGGTGGGATTTTTAGCCATGACCTTGTCAGTATTTGGCTCCAGTCTTATGGCTGAAAATGATGTTTTGTCATGCTGATTTTTCAAAGTCCTATTTTTGCTTCTCTGATACAGAATCTAACAGGAAATAAGGCTTCTAGAAAAAAATATATACCCCAAAGAGCAATCTCAGTGACTTAGGAAGTTTCTTAAGGCCATCATCATCCTCTCTTTACTTTTTACTTGGAAGCCCCAAGTCACATATGGCATACAATTAGGTCCTTCTGCACATCTGGTAAGGATTCTCATTACAGGAACCTACCACTGCCATTTTCATAAAGCCTGGGATAGACTTTATAGACATCTGAGATTTTTCTAGATGTTTATCAATAAGCAATCCCAGGGCCTGAAAACCTTGAGTTATTAGTGGTTAATAGCTTCTCCATTTAGCATTGTAACCTTGGGCAGTCACTTAAAGTCTCTGAGCCTCAGCATCTTACATAGTGTGGTTAAATCTGCTTYAGCCGGTTGAGATGAGAATTAAATGAGGTAATATACATAATAGTTTGCATAGGTCATCATACATACAAGCCCTTAAGAAATGGTGGCTATCAGCTGGGTGCAGTGTAATTCCAGCAGCTTGAGAGGCTGAGGCAGGAGGATCCCAATTAAAGTCATCTTCAGCAATTTAGCAAGGCCCTAAGCAACTTAGTGAGACCCTGTCTCAAAAAAATAAAAAAATGCTGGGGATGTCGCTCAGTGGTTAAGTGCCCTTGGGTTCAATCCCCAGTACAAGGAAAAAAAAGTTAAAAAAAAAAAGAAAAAAAAGAAATGGTAGCTATCAGTCTATAAGTCAGTGTTATTATTGGAGTTTCTAGTGAGGGTTTGCCTTTCCCTATCTCTGGGTACAGACAATAGGGAGGTATCTTCCATTTTCCAACTTCTATCTCTCAATTAACTTACTATATAGCTGGGACAGATGTGGGGTCATTGCTAAAGGTTTTTCATTTTCGTTTTTTTCTGAAATGCACTTGGTCAGAGCAGAGAACATGATGTCAATGTGTGCATATTGGAGGACATACCTCGTCCTGATCCCTCCTATAACCATGACCAAATCTTCATGACTGTCCAATATGGAAGCCCCAAGTCACATATGGCTTTATAAATTTAATTTAGTTAAAATAAAAAAGTTCCTCAATAATACTACCTTCATTTCAAAGTGCTCACCTTTTCCATTGGGCCTGTGTCGTAAACTCTTCCCACAACACTAGTTCTGTACCGTTCTGCTTGCCTTTCTTCACTTTTCCTTTAAAAACAAAAAAATACTCAGGAGGCTGAGGCAGGAGGACAGCAAGTTCTAGACCAGCCAGAGTAACTTATGAAGACCCAGTCTCAAAATAAAAAATTCAAAAGGCTGGGGATGTAAACCATTTGTAGTGACCCCCTCCCCCACAATACTCAGTACAGCTAAAAAAACACACACAATGTTTTTAATCAACAAAACATGGCCTTTGGTTTGAAGCATGGCTCAGCTTCTCACTAGATGTGACTTCCTGGGCAATTTTATCTCTTTTAGCCTCAATCTTTTCATTGGTAATATGGAGATCGTTCCATGCAATTCATAATACAAGTGAGGAATAACTAGGAAGATATAAAGTATCTACACATTGTTAGTTTGTCTCCTACCTGCCCCAAGTGTACAGCTCATACAGAAAGTCACTCCTATTGCTTCCTCTCATCCAGACTTGGGGTGGAGGTGCCCGCCAAGAGTGTGTTCTGGAATCTTTTTCAGAGTAACAGTACTCCCGCCAGGTAGTAGCAAAGCTACCTTAGTTTACTTAGAAAGAAAAAAAAAGGGGGGGGGGGACAAAGGGCCTGAAGATTCCGAAACACTAGAGTTGGGGGTAGGAGCACTCTGAAAAGGAAGAGAAGGAAGCTCTGCATTGATGTTTTGATGGGGAAGCGGTGTGTGTGTGTGTGTGTGTGTGTGTGTAGCAATTGTGAGGGCACCGACCGTCCTTACTCAAGAAGGGGTCTGGGAGCCAGAAGGAAAGACTAGGAACTCGTCCAGAGTTCTTTGGGCCCCCGAACGTGGCAAGAACACACCCTATACAGCGCCAGGCGCCGTGCCTCACTTTCTCCATTTGCGGACTCCAGTTCCCAGGATGCAGAGCAGCGTCCAATCTCCTGGCTCTTTTTCCATCCCCCTCCCGGGAAAGATTGCCCCTGGCCAAGACAAGGGGGCAGCTGCAGTTTCAGAAACCAACGACTGCAAGGGAATGGAATTAGAAAGTGACCAGAATTCCAGTTTCACCGTCCAGAAGGTAAGGAAGACAGCTCCAGAACTGGGGCGACGAGCAGGGGGTCTTCATTCCCACGTGTCTGCACAGCGGCTGGTCCGGCGCAGTCGGGGTTAACCTGTGGCGGAGGGATCCCGTAACGTGTGCGTAGAACTGCAGAGTCACAGCCTTTCCTCCGAGAGGGCCGTATCCCTACGCCGCCCCGCTCCAACACAAAATAGGGCCGCATCTTATCCTTTCTCCCCTTCTTGAGTGGGGCTCCCCGGGCAAAAGGTCCCGGAGGATCCCACACCAGAGGCTTCACGAATCTCCGCGACTGCTGCCCAGATCTCGGGCCAGGAAATAGCCCCTTCGCAGGAACCACCCTACCGGCCGAACAGGAGGCGGAGGGGGGGGGGAGAGGCGGAGCGGCGCCGCGCTGCACTACTTTCCTCTCCGGTTGCAAATGGCTGCCTCGTTCCCCACTTTCCGCTCAGTTTCCTGACCCCTTGGCGCCGGGAGCCGGGGTTGGGCCATGCACCTCTAGGCCCCCCGCGATCACAGCCAACTGGGGGTCAAGGGGGTGCCGCCGACCTGAGCCGGCCAGGCCGGGGGCGGGGCAGCTCCGGAGGCCAGAGGGGAAGGGAGGCGAGCGCAGGGCCTGGAGCGGCCGGAGGGGAGCGGGCAGAGGGCTCGCACCGCCCGCCCCTTCCTCTTCCTCGCCCACCTACCCTCCTCCCTTCCCCGGGGGGAGCAGAAGGTGGGGGACTCGAAGCCGAGCGCTCGGGGTCGAGGAGCCCGGCGCTGGGTGTGTGTCAGGTTCAACCCCGCGGCCCCGCCGGCTCCGCGTCGCGGTAGCTCGCGCGGCCCCGGGGCGCCGGCCGGGCGGGGAGAGGGGCTCGGCGCTGCTGTGAGGGTCTCACGTTCCATCCGGGCCCGGCGCGGGGCGGCGCGGCATTCCTTCCGGGCTGCTGGGGAGGCGCCTCGACGTTCCATCTGGAGAGCCTCGACGTTCCGCCCGAGCCCGGCGCGGGCGGCCGGGGCGCTGGCCGGGCCCTAGGACTGAGAGGCCGCCCGGCGACGCGGATGCGGAGCCTTCTTGCCCAAGATCAAAGCCACCGGTGCTCTCTTTGTGTCCGCTCGGGATTCGCCGCCCTGGGGCTGTCCATGGAAACCTAAACTGCTGGAACCCGAGGCAGAGAACCCCTCTTTGGCTTCTTGCTTTTTTTGGGGGGGTGGGGAGGGTGGCCACTCCGACCTGGATTTACCGTTCTTGGCCCCCCTAAGCCCCCCCGTGCGGGGGGCGACTGTGATCGCTCTGGCGGTTGGAGGTCGGGGAGCGGCCCGGGCTCTGGCCATGTTCTCGGATGAGGATTTCTGGATCGCCCTGTGAAGAGGTGAGTGAAGTCCTCCCGGCCAGGGCCCAGAAAGGGTTGGACTGGGGGCACAGCCAGATGGACTATCTTGGCCTGTGCTGGCCTTAGGTTGGAGAAGGGGGTGCCAGAGCTGGGGAGGGTTCTTTTGGCAGGGTCTGTCAGGGGAACCTGAGCCAGTCGTTAGGGCAGAATCGAGGCCTGGTGTCTTGGGGTGTGCCTCTTTAAAGACTGGGGGTTCAGGGAAACAGGGAGTTTGGGAACCTGTCCAGATAGTCTCTCTGCCCGTTTATTTTTGTGTTGGGGGGAGTTCCACCAAATTAAGACCCAGGCCATGGTGCCAGCACCAATCCCAGTCTGCTGCTTCTCCCCGCAGGGTTCCCGTGGGTCTTGGGACAGAACAACTTGGGATGGGGGGAGGGTGCCACTGCCAGGTCGGACTTACTGCCAGATTGGACTTTAAGGTTGTTCCTACTCAGCCAGGCACCAGTGCAGTCTCTGAGAAACTCAAGGAGCCCTAGGTCCTTCACCAGGTCTTCTTTACCTGGAGTAAAGGGGAGGGTGTGTGGATACTGACTAGTGTGATGAAGGGGTGACTGGTGAAGGAGGAGGAGGGGCTGGGGGTAGCTCTGGCCCTACTGTTCAACTTTAAACTACCCCTGCCTGGCAAAGTGACCCTAGCTAGGCCTACTGCTGTCTTAGCCTGCTTTGCCTCCCCTACTCCTGGGATGGACATAATCTCCAGGGGATTATAGAGGAGGCCGTGGAGATTTGTTTCCTGCGAATGTGGGCTGCAAAAAAATGGCTTTTGTCTCCTGCTTTCTCTGGGCCTTGTGTGGAGAGCTGGCTGCCCATGAGTCCCTAGCCAGTCCTGCAGACTCCTCCCAGACTTCTCCAACACTTTTCTGATTAAGGAATGCTAACTGGTCCTCTGATCCTATCCCAGTCCTGCAGAATAGGATGACTTGATTTGAACTTTTCTGCTGGAAGTCAGTGTGTCTAGCCCTAGCAAGTGGTGCTGGGAGAAGGGGTGTATATGCATGTGCAGGAGGTTGCAGCATGAGCCTTGCGCCTCTGACTCTGAACTCCCCAGCTAGGACAGCCTCTCTCACACCTGTCATGCTGCCCAGCAGGGATTTGGCCAGTGCGTTTTGCTCCTTCACTCAACCCCCTCCAACATGCATATGTATATACTGGATCTCTTTTGAGTTTGATCTTGGAAAGCAGAAAGTAGGGGTTTTGCCCTTGAACAATTTCTGAGGCGAGAGGTGGCACAGGGCTGGTGAAGTGAGGTAAGCTGTCAGCTGTGGTCTCTGCTAGTGCTTTCTGTGGAGGGTTCCTCCTGTCATCTGTCTCCAAACAGCTTTCTCAGATGGGAAGTTAGCAGTGGCTTCTCTTAGGTGTGGCAAATTCTAGGATGAYCCAGGGACAGTGTGGAGGGTCTTCAGGGCCAGTATTGCCATTTGAGTCTTTCCTGGAGGGCTGACCCAAAATGGGGGTGGACAGAGGTGTGGTTTGATTCTCAGGCTGGGAACCAGGAAGTCCTGAGTCCTATTGAAGACTTGTTCACGCAAGGGCCTGTTTCAGCCTTTCACCTCTCCAAGCCTCTATTTCCCCTGTGGCTGGGAAAATGGAGTGAAAGCTGTTAGTCTGGGATGAGTGCAAGGAGGATAGTGGGTTGAGATAAATCCCTGCTTTTCTTGCTGTTTGTTTTGGGCCTTTTAGGCATAGCATTAAGGGGTATCAGCATAGTTTTACTTCATAGGTCAGAGGAAGCCTGCTAGGCATTATTCCACTTAGATTTAGGAAAAACCCCTTAGTGTATTAGTATGTCTGTGTTTACTGGCTGTGATTGATGGGGTGTGGGAACCTGTGCCTTTATTTCTTTAGATGTGTTCAGAGGCTTGAAGGTTGTGGAACTTAGCATTGAGGTGTAGATGCTGGATGGCAGGGGTGGGGAAGTAGGGATTGAGAGCTTAGGCTTCTTGGAGGTGCCTTTAGATTCTTTTTGGTACAATTTAGAGAACACTCTGCTCCTTGCTTCTTAATCTCTCATCTTCCATAGCTCCATGAATGGGACTCTTGACTATGGAGGACATTAGTATTCTGTTCCTCAAGACTGGACGAAGACTGGACGAAGGTGGTTTCTGTACCTTCTTGAACATTGCCAGCTGTACCAGCCTGAGAGGGCTGTGCTCGGGGGAGGGTAGAGGAATTTGTCCCTGTGGCCTTGTGTGAGGCGGTTCTCCTCCTACCCACTGTATTATCACTGTTATTTTTTATTTCTTCCTGTGTGTGACTCCTTTGACTTCAATTTTGAGAGCAGAGCTGGATCTTTGGGGAGGATCTTTGGAGCATGTAGTAGTAAGATACAGTAAGATGCAAACATAGAAAATTTTGAGGCCTTCTTGGACTTCTGGGGATGTCTAGGCCTTGAATGACTGAATAAGAAGAGGGACCTGGCTGGTACCCTGACCTCCAACTCCCACTTCCCACAGGTGGTTTCTAATGGCCCCTTGAAGTTCCTGAGCAACTTTTCTGTGAAACAGCCAGATGACCCACCCTGCTTTTTTTTTCAGGTGTGGTTGTGTAGCAGATTTGTGAAAGAAAGATGGTTTGAGAATGGAGATGACAGGCATCAGGTGATGCTTTATGTTACCTACCTAAGAGATTCTGAGTGGTGGGGGAAATGGCTCAGGAGAAGCATTTCCAGCATCTGGAAAAGGAAGTGTGATCTTAGGAAAGGAGGGACTGATAACTTGGTAATTAGGGAATTGATTTCCCAATCTTGAGCATCTTTGAGAGTTCCCCTGTCATTGAATCCTAAATTGTTGACTGGGGGATTTGCCATACAGTTTGAGAGGACAGGGTTGTTCTTATTAAGTTTGATCTAGTCACTGTTGTTAAAAAAGAGGAGTGAAAAAGGTGGGAGATGAATTTCTCAGACTCTTATTACTTGCAATTCTTTTTTTAGGACTCTCATACTCCATCTCTTAATCTCTAATTAAGAGAACGGTCTACCCTTCTCACTAACAGTTTATGGTACCTGTCCCTTTCTCCTTTCTTCTATAGGGTCCCTTTCCTATTGCTCATCTTTGTAATTCTTCTTATTCTTTACTCCT